AATTTTTCCTCCAAGATGCACAGGGGAATTTATGAAAGCTTTCTCCTAACACACTTCCTGTGGATGGAGAGCAATGACACTTGGCCCAGTTCTGAGTCCTTCTCTCCATCACTGCCACCGAAGGATACATTCCCGTCTTTGGAAGCAACTGTAAACACCTCGCTTGTAGATGTTGACAAGCTACGCTGTGACTTCAGAAATCAGAGTCTTGTCACCTGAGAAATCTGAAAAATGCTTTCCCTTCAAAACTCAGTTGTTGGAAAGAGTTGGAAATCCGATGGTGCGAGGTTGGGTGAATAAAGGGGGACGTGATAGAATTTTTTCAAAGCCACTGGATCATGCTTTTTCCATGAGTTGTGAACTGGTGCATTGCCTTGCAGAAGGTGGACAACTTTGGGGAGCATGCCACATTGTCTCTTGGTTTGGTTGGCCTCCCACAATTTCCACAGCAGTGAAGCCTAGTCTGCCCCAATGATCATGGTCCCCTTTGCTAGAAAATCCATCCATACTACTCTGTGCTGGTCCCAAAATCCTGTGAGCATAACCTTGCCAGCCAAGAGTTGGCACGTGTCTTCTTTGGAGGTGGTGAGTCAGGATGCTTCCATTGCATCGACTGGACTTCAGTCTCAGGATCAGAGTGATTGACCCAGCTTTCACCCAGTGTGAGCAATCTGTTGACAAAGTTCTCCTGGTTTCCCTGGCACACCATTGTCAATAGAGCCTGAGAGCATTCAACTCGTTCCTGCTTCTGGAAATGTTCTGGTACGGCTGTACCAGGAGCTCCAACTTTATTTGCTTTGTATTAAATGTTTGTTTGCAGTCCTAGGTTTCAGGGACTCTGCAGATAGGTGGCTTCCTTTGGCTGCAGTCATAGGGCAAGTCACCTGTCCATCATCACTAAGTTTTGGGAGCCATTTTTAGTCAGTCTCTGCAAGGAAAGCTAATGTACAGGATGTGTGCAAGCTTCCCCTGTACAAAAGCTTTCTTGGGAGTAGCCTGGCTGCCTCATTCTGAACAATATGGAGCTTTTGGGTCGTAGACATCGGAAAGCCAACGTACAGAGCGTTGCAATAGTCCAGCCTAGACGTGACCGTGGCATGGGTGACAGTTGCCAGAGCCTCATCTGATAGGGAGGGTGCTAGTTGCCTCGCTTGTCGTAGATGGAACAAGGCCTGTTTTCTGGCAGCAGGGACCTGAGCTTCCATTGTCAGCTTTGAATCCAGGACAACACCCAAGCTCTTAACAGTGGTCGATGGAGATAGGGCGGCACCATCGAAGGTGGGTAACGGACGAGCCAAGCCAGAGAATCTCAGTCTTCGCCGGGTTCACCTTCAGTCTGCAAGCACGTAGCCAGTTCGACAGAGCCTCCAGACATAGGGTGAAATTGTCTGGCATTGACGTTGCTCCAGGCTCCAGATGCAGAAGGAGTTGGGTATCATCTGCATATTGGTAGCAGTCCAGGCCGAAACTCCGAGCCAAACTAGCAAGGGGTCTAACGTAGATGTTGAAGAGAAGAGGGGAGAGAATTGCACCTTGGGGGACCCCACATAGGAGGGGGGATCTATCGGAGACTTGATCCATGTACTCCACGCATTGGCTCCGGTTCCGGAGAAATGAGTTGAACCAATTAAGGGCCTGACTGCAAACTCTGGACATGGCAAGACGGTGAATCATTAGATTTAGGGCTGGGCGGTTTTGTTCGTTAATTTCGTAATTCGTTATTAATTCGTTATTTTTTGATAACGAAGCGATATTGAACCATTCATGAGCAACTAAAAAACGAAATGAATTTTTCCAATTTGTTTCGTAATTGTTTCGAAATTGTTTCGTAATTATTTCGTTATTATTTCCGTATGTCTGGTGCAAGTTTTATAGTCGTTGTTTGTTTTATCAGTGATAACAAATAAATTATCACACCAACAGTCAACAACAGAGGGAGAGGGAAGCTTCAGAAGTTCCCCCTGTCCCATTTGGAGGGTTTTTTAGCATATTGCGCAATCGCGTCCGCCACTAATGAATCGATTCGTTATTGTTTTGAAATTGTTTCGTAATTTCCAAAATTTCGTAAATATCGAACTTTTCAAAAGAAAAAAATTCGGAATTCTTTTAAATAACAAAACGCAAAAACCCCCTAAAAACGAATCGAATTTAGAAACAAATTTTTCCGTGGTTGGACAGCCCTAATTAGATTGTAGTCGACGGTGTCAAACGCTGCGGTAAGGTCGAGAAGTACCAGTAGGGCGGATCCACCGTTATCAGACTGGTGACGAAGTTCATCTATAATGGCAACCAGGACTGTCTCCGTCCCATGGCCAGGGTGGAAACCTGACTGAAAAGGGTCCGGGCTGGCTGTGCCATCCAAAAATTGTTGCAATTGTCCCAGTACAGCCCGCTCGATCATCTTGGCTAAGAATGGAAGGTTAGAAACAGGACGATAATTGGCAAGGGTCATGGGATCCAAGCTAGGCTTCTTTAGCAAGGGACGAACCCTTGCCTCTTTTAGGTTGTCCGAGAAGACCCCCTGTTCAAGAGAGCCATTGATTATATTCCTCAACGGATTGCGTAGACTTTCCAGGCAGCTCTTAACCAGCCAAGAGGGGCACGGATCAAGGGAACAGGTGGTTGGTTTTGCAGCAGCCAGGATTCTGGCGACATTTTCCCTGTCAAGCGGAGTAAATCGGTCAAAGATAGGCCCACTAAGCGGCCACAAAGTCTCGAGTTCACTCAAGGTGATAGAATTGGGCCAAACTTCCTACACAGAACCCCCATGACCAACAGAAAATACTGTGTTTTCTGATGGTCTTTGGCGAACCCTCTGACACCCCCTCACGACCCCCACAGGAGTCCGTCCCAACTCCCAGGTTGAGAAGTACTGCCCTAAAGGCTTTAACCCTTAAAACAGAATGAAAATGAATCATTAAAACCACTGGAAGTGCTAAAACCCATTTAAAATACACAATTGTAATTATTTTCCCCCTTTCAAATAAATGCATTTGTTGATCTGTTCGGGTGAAAATGCAAATTGGGCGCGGGAAAAGGGAGAGCTGTGCAATAAGCCTAATTATTTATGCAGGCATTTTAATCAAACAGTGAACCGTGCAAAAAGCAACGGCAAATACCTTTGCATTAGGCATGGCTATAATGCAGCAGTTCAAGCCCAGACAAACCAAGGCAATCTTGGAAGGCTCATTCATACATTTGTGTCCATGGATCTGGACCTACATCTCTAGATGTAGGTGAACTACAACTCCAAAACTCAAGGTCAATGCCCACCAAACCCTTCTAGTGTTTTCTGTTGGTCAGGGGAGTCCTGTGTACCAAGTTTGGTCCAATTCCATCGTTGGTGGAGTTCAGAATGCTCTTTGATTATAGGTGAACTATAAATCCCATCAACTACAACTTCTAAATGACAAAATCATAATTTTTGAGAGATGGCCACTACTTGTGTAGTGAGATGTTTTGTTGCCAAATTTGGGGGTGATTTCGTTCATTGGTTCTTTTGTTTTTAAGGAACTCATTATGCACAGAGCATTTTTATATATATAGATATAAATATTATATATATATATATATATATATATATATATATATACACACACACACATACATACACACACACACTCACACATACACACACACACTAGCTTGGGGACCCGGCGCTGCCTGGGTTATTAGAGAAAGTGGGTAATGGTGGTTCTGTATGCCAAGTTTGGTCTTTACTGGTCATTGCATGATGGTTGCATTGTTTTCAGGAAGTGAGTGAAGGTACTTGAAGTCCCATTATCCATGGTCCACCCTCCTCCAAACAGCAGCAGGATATAGAGTGGGCCATGGGGGCTCTGTGTGCCAAGTTTGGTCTTTATCAGTCATTGGATGAGGGTCGCAGTGGTTTCAGTAAGTGAGTGAAGTTTCTGCAAGTCCCATCATCCAAAGTCCATCCTCCTTCAAACTGCAGCAGGATGTAGAGTGGGTCATGGGGGCTCTGTGTCCAAGTTTGGTCTTGATCAGTCATTTGATTAGGGTTGCTGTGGTTTCAGGAAGTGAGTGAAGGTACTGCGAGTCCCATCATCCATCGTCCATCCTCCTTCAAACAGCACTGGGATGTAGGGTGGGTCAAAGGGGCTCAGTGTGCCAAGTTTGGTCTTGATTGGTCATTACATGAGGGTTGCAGCAGTCTTGGGGAGTGAAGGTACTTGAAGTCCCATCATCCATGGTCCACCCTCCTCCAAATAGCAGCAGGATATAGAGTGGGTCATGGGGGCTCTGTGTGCCAATTTGGTCTTGATTGGTCATTGGATGAGGGTCGCAGTGGTTTCAGTAAGTGAGTAAAGATACTGCAAGTCCCATCATCCAAGGTCCATCCCCCTTAGAACTGCATCGGGATGTAGAGTGGGCCATGAGTACTCTGTGAGCCAAGTTTGGGCCTGGGCTGAGATTTGTGTGGGCCACAGTGCTCTAAGGTAGTGAGTTCAAGTACTGCAAGTCCCGTCATCCATGGTCCATCCTTGCTCACACTGCACCAGGATGTTGAGTGGGTCTCGTGCGTGGGGTTGGTTGCTCTGTGTGCCAGGTTTGGTCTTGTTCTGTCATTGTTGAGGGGCACAAAGTGTTTTGGACTTCAACCATTCCTGACACCTTCGGGCCCCTTTCCTATTCCCTCTGCTACCTCGGAATGTCGAGGGTGGCCAATCAGAGACCATATGCAAATCGTACCACAGTGGCAGCCAATCAGAATCTTGGAACTGATTATATATATGTTGTGTGCCTCTGGCATTGAATATTTGCCCTGTATATGTGCAAACATTCTGTGGGATGAGAAGGGTGTAATATAAATACTGTAAATCAATAAATAGCAGATCAATACACGATAACGTTATGTAGTAATTACTGTATTTACGAATTTAGTACCAAAATATTGCAATGTATTGAAACAGCTGTGGTTCACCCACTTATCCTGGTGCATCTCCACCAACTCCATCTTCTCTTGACGTTCTTTGCAGATCTCTTGCATTTCTAACCCGGTCCCGAGGAGCGATGGAGGGCAACGGGAGAGAAGGAGGCTTCTTCTGAATCAGCTCCTGGGCCTTCCTTTTTGAGGCATGGTTGCACGGTGAGTCTGGAAATACCTGTTGGGGTTCAGCCTGAGTTTGAACTTGAACCTGATTCTCTGTTTGTTCCTCCTGATGCTAATGAAAATATATTTACTGATGCTAATGAAAATGTACCTCTTGATGCCAATGCTCCTGAAATTAGCGAGGAAGAAACTTCTGTAGGTTTGGAAAATGCCAATGTTCCTGAAATTAGTGAGGAAGAAACTTCTGTAGATTTGGAAAATGAAAGTACCAGTGTTCATGAGAATGTTTCAGAGGGAAGCCATGACCTTTCACTCCCTTCTGCACCTGGTAACTTTAATGACAACAGAAGGGGCCAGATTTGGCAAGACAGAAGTAAAACACTCAGCTTGCGTCGGTCTTCCCGATTAAGAGAAATACAAACAATGGCTTCAAAGCAGAGGGGCGGTTCATGGAACCAATTCCTCGGCTTTAAGTGCCTTCCGTCGGGCTGACTTTCTCAGTTCAGGCATCATTTCAGATTGATGAAGACCTTGGCAGTTCTCCCGGTTTCCCTGGCCATCGTCTTGAAAGATTTCTAGGATATCAAGCACGGTTAGTGGATTGCTAACAGGTTCCAGTATTTTACAGTGTGGTTTTGGGTTTTGTTTTGTTCATTTAAATTCATGTTTGCTGATTTTGCTGTGGCTTTTGACTTGCATTTTTCCTTTATTTTGTAACCATTTTTCTTCAATAAAATAGGATTGTTTTTCACAGTCAAGTGTGGTGGATAGTTATCTTAGGGCCTCGTTCCCTGCTCTGGATTGCAACAATACCTTGCATGCATTTCACATCTGCGCTGCATTTCCCCATTCATTTGCCTCCTTGTTGTAGTGAGATTGCTACTCTATGTTAAAGTTTTGGTGTATAGCTCTATGTTTACATATGGCAGATAGGGAAGAATAGGCACAGACAGGGTAGCAACAGCAGAGATAGGATTCATTTGCATATGTGAAGCCAGTTGGTCATATGCAGATTAGTGTAGGCCCAGGATTTGAAAAGGCTGCTAGGCCAAAATGACAGTTGGGGAGAGCAGAGCTGAACATTCCAAAGGGGCGGAGCCAAGGTTCTGAAAGAGGCAGTTAGAGTTGAGGGAGTTTGAAAATGACAGTTAGGAATCTGTGTGTGAAGAGTTGGTTTTTGAGTGCCTGATAGAAATAAGCAGTTATGAAGATGTGTTAAAGACTTCTGATATAGAGAAGCAGTTAGTTAAATAGAGCTCGAGTTTTAAGGAACATAAAGAAGGCTAGTGTTGCCTTAATTCAGAATATAATTCAGTCAAGAGTGTGTAAAGCAAGTAACATGTTTGTGAATATGAAACATTGATAGTTTATTCAGAAAAGTTAACCAAGTAAATGATACTGACTGTAAGCCTCAAGATTGCAACAGAACACAAATGTAACCACAAGCGTTGGAGCCAGAAGTTATAAATGAACTGTGTTACTTTGTTATACACAAGAGTGTTTCATTGCCTGTGATATAAAGTACAATGGTTTAAGAGCACACAGAAAGTCCCAGCCAACATAAAAGAAGAAACTGAATCAGTATAAGGCAGCATAGAAGTTTTTAAAAGAGGAAATAGTCTCTCTCCCTCGCCTCACTTGTCCTTCCAGGAAACAGCAGAACGGATCCTAATAAGGACCCTGCTTGTTGGAACCCCCTTTTTGTTATTAGTTAGAAATCTTTATCTCATTTATGCAAACAAATATGAGAACAGTAAGCCCACCAACAAAACACAAGTTTGCATCACAACCACTTCATCACATTAGGCAGGGAAGTGTGTGGCAGAGGAGAGCAGAGAAGACCTCCATCTTACTCAGTTTTATAATCAAACAGATGTTTTCCCTACCTTCTATCACACTGTTTAATGTCTCTCAGTTTCGTTTCAGTATTCTTTCACACTGCAATTTGGCCCCGCCCACCACCCCTCTCCCTACTCATTGGTGAAAACTGGCAGCGATGCTCGCTCTCCCTCCCTCCTTGCCTCCCTCTCTCTTGGCTGCCCCACAGAGAAGGATGTGGACCTTGGAAAACTAAAACTCCCATACTACATAGTATGGTGCTATAGTATTTAAAGTGGGCTCCATGAGCATTCATTCCGTAGTGTAAATCCATAGTGTTGTTGTTGTTGTGTCTTGTCTCCAGGCTGCGTAGTCCTGGGAGTCATAGTTTCCCAAGGTCTATACCCTTCCCTTGATGCATTTACAGTATGGAATGAATTCCCTCGCACCCCACTTGAAATGCCATGGCTCCATGCGATGGAGTCCTCCCGGGAGTTATAGTTTCCCAAGGTCCATACCCTTCTCTGGGTGCATCTACACTGTGGAATGAATGCAGTTGGACCTTATTTTAAATGACGTGTCTCCTTGAGATGGTCTTGGGAACTGCAGTTTCCCAAGTTCCATGAACTGTGAAATGAAGGCAGCTGGACCTTAGTTTAAATACCATAGTTCCATACTATGCAGTTCTGGGAGTTACAGATTTCCGAGGTCCACACCCTTCTCTGTTAGGCAACCAAGAGGGCAAGAGGGAGTGCCTCATTGCTTAGTACAACTGAGTATCACGAATACATTTAACATTTAAACTAAGGTAGGGAAATCATATGTTCCATTTCAAAACTGAGTATGACTGAGTTCTACTCTACCAAACACTTCCCTGCTTCAATGTGATAAAGTCCTTAGTCTCTTTTAAGAGATGGAATATAAATACTACTGTTTTGTTTGTCGTGTCAGGGCAACCAGTCAATTATATTACATTTCTAACAGAACAAAGCAAACAGACAGACAAAATACAAAATTTGTGAGTTTGGCAGTTGATTAAATGTCCTTTGACCAGTCTCTGGCCACTTGGAGTGCCTCTGGTGTGGCCGCAAGGAGGTCCTCCCTTGTGCATGTGGCAGGGCTCACGTTGCATTGCAGCAGGTGGTCAGTGGTTTGCTCTTCTCCGCACTCGCATGTTGTGGATTCCACTTTGTAGCCCCATTTCTTAAGGTTGGCTCTGCTTCTGGTGGTGCCAGAGCGCAGTCTGTTCAGCGCCTTCCAAGTCGCCCAGTTTTCTGTGTGCCCAGGGAGGAGTCTCTCATTTGGTTCTGGGTTTGAGCCTGCCACTTTTGGACTCTCGCTTGCTGAGGTGTTCCAGAGTGTCTCTGTAGATCTTAGAAAACTATTTCTTGATTTAAGTCGTTGACGTGCTGGCTGATACCCAAACAAGGGGATGAGCTGGAGATGTCTCTGCCTTGGTCCTTTCACTATTGGCTGCTACTTCCCGGCAGATGTCAGGTGGTGCAATACCGGCTAAGCAGTGTAATTTCTCCAGTGGTGTGGGGCGCAGGCACCCCGTGATAATGCGGCATGTCTCATTAAGAGCCACATCCACTGTTTTAGCATGGTGAGATGTGTTCCACACTGGGCATGCATACTCAGCAGCAGAGTAGCACAGCGCAAGGGCAGATGTCTTCACTGTGTCTGGTTGTGATCCCCAGGTTGTGCCAGTCAGCTTTCGTATGATATTGTTTCTAGCACCCACTTTTTGCTTGATATTCAGGCAGTGCTTCTTGTAGGTCAGAGCACATCCAGAGTGACTCCCAGGTATTTGGGTGTGCTGCAATGCTCCAGTGGGATTCCTTCCCAGGTGATCCTCAGAGCTCGGGATGCTTCTCTGTTCTTGAGATGAAAGGCACATGTCTGTGTTTTAGATGGATTAGGGATCAGCTGGTTTTCCCTGTAATAGGCAGTAAGAGCACCTAGAGCTTCGGAGAGCTTCTGTTCAACCATCTCAAAGCTCCCTGCTTGAGCAGTGATGGCATGATCATCAGCATAGGTGAAACTCTCTGTTCCTTCTGGCAGTGTCTGATCATTTGTGTAAATGTTAAAAATTGATGCACTCCCCTGAGGCAGGCCGTTCTTCTGTTTCCGCCATCTGCTTCTCTGGCCCTGGAACTCAACAAAAAAGCTCCTGTTTTGTAGCAGGTTTCCTATGAGGCGGGTGAGGTGGTCGTCCTTTGTGATATAAATACTACTACTACTAATAGTTACTGCTTGGAGTATTTCAATTTTAATCACTTTGCAATCCCATCAATATTGCGTCCTTTCTTGGGCAGCTGTTGGCATCAGTAGGACCCTTTGAAGTATTTTGTGTTGGTATGAATGGTGCAATAATGGTGCAATAACAGACACCATGATTGTGTCCCTAGAAGAGCTTTGGGCCCTAAATGTGTCGTTCCCACACAGTAGTCCTCCAGATGTTTTGTAGGCTGTGTTGGCTGAAGCTTTTGGGAAATGAAGTCCAAAACGTTTGGCAAACCAACGTTTGGCACCTATTAAGCACAGCTACTGCTAAACCCAACCTTCCTCTTACTTACTTAGGCGATCCCTCGTTTTCCGAGGAGGATTGTCTTCCAGTATTCTTGTGGGTCCGTATGTAGCTGTGGAGCCCTATTCTTGCTCTGCATCTTCTTCCGCAGTGAGGGCATTGGTTTCCAGATGGAAGGCGGTCTCGGTCGGGGTTGGCTTGACGCGCCTTCCTCTTGGCACGCTTCTCCCTTTCGCCCTCCATTTGTGCCTCTTCAAATTCTGCAGCACTGCTGGTCACAGCTGACCTCCAGCTGGAGCAGTCAAGGGCCAGAGCTTCCCAGTTCTCAGTGTCTATGCCGGAGTTTTTAAGGTTGCCTTTGAGCCCATCTTTAAATCTCTTTTCCTTTCCACCAACATTCTGTTTTCCGTTCTTGAGTTCGGAGTAGAGCAACAGCCGTTGTAACATGTACCATGTTATCCTCCGCCTGCTCCGCCGTTGAGGTCTTTGGGTCTTCGGACTGTGCTTGGTCTGGAACCTCCCCCGTGGCCACTCCTGGGAGTGCACGACTCCAGTTGTTGTGCCTACAGGTTCATCGGAACACGCAAACCCGCTCACCACGACAAGGTGACAGTCCATCGAGGGGGCCAACTTTCCTCATTGGGTTGCCAAAAGAAGAAAATAAGGGAAGTAAGGGAGAGCATTCAAA